ATCTTCCTTCCTTCCTTCCTTCCTTCCTTCCTTCCTTCCTTCCTTCCTTCCTTCCTTCCTATTTTTTTCTATTTTTGTACAGTACTATTGCAATGTTTATTTCTTCATTTATTCAATTTATATGGCCTCCCATCTCATTAAATGACTCTGGGCAGCAAGCAATCTTCAAATATATTAACAATTCCAACCACAAATACAAAAATTAAAAAAAACACAGCAGCTGAGGAAGATATCACAATCAACAGTCACTAGCACAGCCACAACACAGCACCCTTTACCCACTCAGGGGCTCCAGGCCCAGGTCCAGAATCAGACCAGGGCATCCCAATATCCAAAACAAGAATGGTCCTCAAGGTGAAACATGCCTCTTGAGCCTTAGGCCTGAAAACTGACTGGATGATTTAAGGTCAGTCACCTTCTCTCAGCCCAACTCACCTCACAGGATTGATGTTGTAGGAAAACAGGATGAGGAAAGAAGATTACGTATGTTTTCCACCTTGAGTTACTTATAAAAATGGGATTCAAAATCTAATAAATAGATGGGGTTCCACTGAGACCACTACTTACCCCATTCTGCACTTGTTGAAACTTCTGAATGGTCTTCAGAGGCAGCTCCATGTAGAGCGCATTGCAGTATAGTCTAGTATTATCACAAATCTCCTTCTGTGTGCCGTTCTTTTGGCCTCTGACAATATGTTAATAAAGTTATGGGTTTTTCATAGCATCTGAGACATGATGAAGCATAGGCAATATGGAGAAAAGCAACTCAGATATACGTACAAAGTGAACAGATGCAGTTAAAGGCAGAATGAGATCTATTGTTGTAATCTGCTTCTACCTGATGCAGACACTACTTTTTGTTTCATGTGTGAATAGTCTGGTTTTTAAAAAAACATTTTAAACACTATATTTGCATCTTGGAGAAACAATATAGATTTACCTTGATAGTATAACATAAAACGTATGGTTGAGATGATAGCTGATGAGTGAAAACTAAGGATACCCAATGCCATGTCACAGCTATGAGATGCTGTGTGATACTTCAGTCTGTCACAATTAAAGGGAGCATTACTTTAACTCATGGCAAAGATGTACATAGCAGTAGACAATTTCTTACAGTCCTGATTCAGACCATGCTACATCTCAGCTATTTTCAGCCTAAGTATATAGTCAAAACTGATTGGCAGGATGTCTTTCCAAGCCTTACCAGGAGATGCCAGATACCGAATGTGGAATCTTTGACAAGCTGTTTACCAGTGAGTTAGAAGTCTTTAGGTTTGGTATTAAGAAACAGACGATAGATGCCTTCATCTTTAAGAAAGATTTAGCAAGTTAAGCCCAATTTATTTCACTTATGATAAATCTGCAGGTGAACTTTGCTTGTGATCTATCTGCAGGGAAACTCCAAGGATATGCTGTTTCTTTATGGGGAAAGTCTGGCATTTCCTGCCAGGAAACGGGTTCTCTACCATGAACAATAGAATGTTTTATAAATAAATGGAAAAACTTCTGCCTAGATTCCATGACCTTTGCCTCAAAAGTGGCAAAATGGAGCCGCTATTTTTCCAAAATGATGGGCTAGGTGTGTACCAATAATGTATTTGTATGTGGTGGACAAATCTTAACCTTTAGCAACAGTCCAGTGGACCAGTCCTTTCTGCCTCTAACATACACACATCATAACCTCTGGTAGCAATGATACTAAGCACAGAGGATATAATTGATTTCACAAGATGGTAAATAAGGAGGGTACTTAAATGAAACAGGAACTGATGGTCAATCTGAAGAACTATGAACTATGCCACCATTGAATAATTTGCTGTTAGAAGGATTCAGAGAATATCCCATGCCGCCAGCATCAAAATTTCACCAAAATGATTTGATTGTTTTCTCCTCTCCTCCTCCATAGAGTAAGTTATTCTTCTCTTTGTGTCTTTTATACAGAAAGAAATAAAAACTCAGTATAACAGCGGACAAGTTTCCTGTGAATTGATTGCACTGAAGACTGAAGGTACAGACAGTTATGAATTATTTTGATGCTCTTCCATTTGAAAAATCACTGGGATGCTTTTGTTTTTCTAGAACTAGTGGCTACACATAGAAAGTTCTTATTATTTTTGGAGATGAATTTGGGTGGAGTAATATGAAAGCCTACTGTTAATGGGTATAACTGTTGAGCAAAGAACTTACCTTTCTTCCCCTCCTAACTCATTCAATTTGATGAAAGAAAAATTGTTCTCAAAGGAGAAGAGGATTTTGGTAAAATTGTTAAGGAGAATATGAGTGTCATATTGTTGTATTTATCCAGTTATAATGTAGCTAAAGATATGTATGGCAACTCGAAAACAAGCATAGGAATGGATGAACTTTATGTGTTCATCCAATCTTCTCTCCAATGAACTGCTATTTCCATGGCTTCCCACACTTCAATTAAATCTTAAGGAAAAGTATCAAAAGGGAAATTTCTGTGGGCTTTTTCAGTCATGATAACAATAGCACTTCGACTTATATACTGCTTCACAGTGCTTTACAGCCCTCTCTAAGCAGTTTATGTAGTCAGCCTATTTCCCCCAACAATCTGGGTCCTCATTTTACCAACCTCAAAAGGATGGAAGGCTGAGTCAACCTTGAGCCCATCAGGATCCAATTCCTGACAGTAAACAATGAGTTAGCCTCAGTACTGCATTCTAACCACTGCACCACCATGGTTTTTTTTTTGATATTATTTGAGTGCTAACAGGAGTTCTGCCTTCTAGTAATTATTGGAACACTCTTCCTTAGAGAAATTTGGAGATTGGATAAGAACATATGACCCAACAGGGCACTGGTTGTCCACCCAATTTCTCTGCCCGAAATGGAATGGAGAATTTTAAAATGTAATTAGTGCCTAATAGGTCGACAAGCCACTGTGCAGCTGTGTAGTTGGAAGAAAAATGTTACTGTGGTCCTATAAATTCTTATTTACTTTGAGATCCTGATATACACTGTATATGTATATATTGTACAGGATATGATCAAGCATAGCTATTTATGCAAAGTATGGAATAAACTGGGCTTTTATAAACCAGCTTATTATGATCTCCAAATATCCAGGCCTTCAAATATATTATTCCCTCAAATAACCTCCTTCCATGCTAAAAAGTAGAAGATTGGAGATGGCATTGAGCCTATATCTTGGCTTTTCCTCATACTCCCTCTCATGAAAGCCTTATTGGATCCTCAATTCAGTATGGAGGAGTTGCAGAATAAAAGTGGTGAAAAGAGACTATCAACTCTTCCTCCCTAAACATGTTTTGTCTTGAATGAACCTTCTTCACAAATAGGGGCTTGTGAGTGGTAGAACTGAAGCTATTATGCATAAATATTTAATGAGATACCAAGGATTCTCCTATCCTTCGCATCATGAGACTTGTCAATTCTCTTTTACTGTATATCAAGAAATATAGACATACTGTCTTGTTTCAGAAGGGATTTAGGGAATACTACACAACCAACCAGTGCCCTGTTGGGTCACATGTTCTTATCCAAACAGAGAAACAGAATGACCAAGAGCAGGCACACACACACACACACACACACACACAAACCAGTGGGAGTGAGTGCGACTTCATATTTCCTGCCAGCTTCCTTATTGAGTTCCCTTGTGGGAATCTGCGAGGGAGCATCAGAAATCTCCCTTCCTTTCCTTTCCGTTCCCTTGCTTTCCTGCCTGCTGGTAAGTGGCTGCTGTGGGATGGGGGAGGAAGCAAGAGATTGTGATACTGGCTGGGAAATCGTCATGGAACTTTGAAAAATGAAGATCACACTGTAGCAGCCACAACTTTCCCACATACCATTCCCTCGGGAGTCATGGGTCCTGGATTTTGGGTGCATTCTGTGAGTTAGCCCATTTGATGTACCTTGGGTCAAAAATTGTTGCTCTATGATGCACCTTACCCTCAGTTTAAAGGCCATTGTGAGAGATTTAATGACTGGTTTGGTTGATACCTGATGGACATAAAGCATTCACTTCTAAGAGATTTTATCAAATAAATTTTGTTCAAACCACATTTGCTCCACATATTGTAGATAGCCCATTGCTCTGCCCCCTTGTACCCTCACCCATTATGGAAAGATTCACAAAGCCATCTGGGAATTGCAATCATCATAAAACATCTCCCTCTGTGTCAGTAGGGGCCCGTAACAGTAAATAAAGGTAATTTGGGAGCCTTTGGTTGTTTGCTACATGTGAACAATGTGGTGTCCAGCATCATAAAAATATATTTGAGTAGAACCAAGTAATGCCATTAAGTAATATGCCAAACTTGGCAATCAGCTTCTCCTTAATGTTCCTGAGTAGTCATGAACTCACATTTCTACAAACAAGTAGTTATTTTTTAAAATATAGGTTTTTGAGACCTAGTAACATGTTAACCAGTGGTGGGATTCACATATTTTTACCACCGGTTTGGTGGGTGTGGCTTGGTGGGCACGCTTTGCGCATGTGCACACGCTTTGAGTGCACGTGCATGCCAAACACACACTTTGCGAAGGCGCAGAGGCATTCCAACTCACCTCCTACAAGCCTGCACGATCCCAGTTGCTTCAGTAGCTGCCGTGCGGTACTCTTCTGTGCTGCACAAAGCAGTTGCACTTCAAATTCAGAGGATAAAGGTGAGTAAGGAAGCTTGGGTGGGCAGGTGGGCCCAACAGCGGAGCGGTGGAAAGAACCATTTCGGTCTGCACTGCTCATCACTGCTACCGGCTCTGCAGTACCGGGCTGAACCGGTAGAATACCACCACTGATGTTAACCCCAAACTTCCTAACTTAAGCTCTTCCAGTTGTTGAGAAAACCATAGATAACTATTTAGTCTTTATTTTGTGCATCAAGCTGTGCAATGGAGGCTTTGACTGTTTCCTTTCCCACTTTGCTCCAGTGTTGCTTTCGTTGCACTTATAATTCACAGGTTCAAAGAAATTGAATTCTAACCTTAAATTCTGAACAAATATCTGGCATGGAATTGCCTGTCTTACACCGAGTGCTGTGTGAAATTTTTTTGCATATAAATAACTCTGCAAACTAGATACCCCAGGTTTGCAAAAGGCATTCGCAGAAGCTGAGAGATAGCTTGTATATTTTCGTGAACTTGATGGTGACCTAAGAAAGACTTTGTCCTAATATGGACACAGAAATGTGGATCTGGAGCTTGCAGATGGATTCCATCTATAGCAAGCTGAGTGTACATCTGATCTGTTGCGATCCAGAAAATGATGCATGCATAGGGGATTGACATATATTAACCCTCTTCTTACAGAGTGGGACATAGCCTAATACAGCCTCTGCTGTAGCATGCTATATATAACGTAACCATAAAGTACCAACAATGACTGGTGCACCTATCTGAAGGTAACAAAGCATTCGTAACAGCAGCAGGGTATCCTTAAAAATACAGGTAGTCCTCAACTTACAACAGTTTATTTAGTGACTGTTCAAAGTTACAACAGCACTGAAAAAAGTGGCTTATGATCATTTTTCACACTTATGACTGTTGCAGCACAGTCACATGATTTACATTTGGATGCTTAGCAATTGGTTCATATTTATAACGGCTGCAGTGTCCCAGAACCATGCGACCATCTTTTGTGACCTTCTGTCAAGCAAAGTGAATGGGGAAACCAGAGCCACTTAACAACGGTGTTTCTAACTTTACAACTGCAGTGATTCACTTAACAAATTTGACAAGAAAAGTCATAAAATGGGTTACAACTCACTTAACAAATTTCTCACTTAGCAACATAAATTTTGGGCTGTCGCAAGTTGGGGACTAACTGTGATCTCATGTGTATCCTAAATTTGATTTGGGCATGTTTTCGGTTTGAGAAAGTGATTTCATGAGAGTTCAAACGGGTAGGATATTAATCCAGGATTGTGTGTGTGAGATCATGATAGTAACCTATTCTGATTTCTTGTCATAGATAGGTTTAATTATTGACTTTAATTCCATCACTTAAAGTAAGGGTAAAACTTCTCAATGTTCAAAAGCTTTGGCAGAGAGGCTGGGTAAAAATTCCCTAGATAATTCCAACCCAATCAATCATTGAGGGAAATAAGCAAACTTTGGGAGAATTGAGCTTCCAACATGGATTAAAAAATTGGGAGGGATTCAAAGAAATGCTCAGAGAATCATTGCAGAACATGTTGGTACAGTTAAATAATGTTAGATTCTGGACTGAGTTTTATGCCTCTCTTGCCTTATTTAGCTCCATGTACTAATCCTTGAGTGTTCTATCAAGTGTGCTGTACTCAGAGGCTACTGTAATCAACTTCATTGAGGTTTGTTTTTGCTCCCAAAGGTTTTTGCTCTAAAGTTATTATTGTAAAAACCTAACAGAGTTCTTACAGCTATCTTGGAGAGGAGTTGAGGAAAACACTGAACTCCATTACTCAATGTTGCACATCTACACACAGGGAACATCAGTCTGCATGCAATGCACTGCCATTTAAAAAAAAACAAAAACAAGCCAAGGCTTTAAGCATTCAGGATCACAAATCTACTTGGGAGGAGTGGTCTTCCCTCACCCATCCAGAGTAGATTTTTGTGGGTACATAAAAGAGTGTTTGGATAGGAGAAAACAGATTCTTCTGCATTCTGCTGACAAATGTATTCCCATCAGCTGAAGCATGTAATAGAATTATATTGAATATTTCTTTCTAGTGCTTGAGCTATAGTGTATATATCTACATGATGTTGTTGCTCTCATGGACTATGAATGTTTATAATTGCAATATAAACAGGTATTTTTCACTAGTTCATAGTGTTAGTAAATGAAAGTACATGTGACTTAACACATTATACTACACCAATTTTTTGTCTAAATAAACAAATCTCTATGGCTTTCCCAACAAAAAAGCAATACCAAATTCCAGTTGTTTAAATGAACAAGAATTTTGCCCTTGTTACAGCTCATCCAGGTTCCTTATCCAGTGGTGAATAATAAAAAGACTGCAGCGAACAGATTTTGTTTTCATTTATAAATCTTAATTGGGTTCAACTGGGATTTTAAAGAATCTCCTTTCCAGGTTTTAGGTCAGAAGTGGTACTATTCACAACAGGATTCTATATTGAAGGGCATCAGTTGGTTTGATCAAAGACCTATTGATACCCACAGCTCATTCTTTGCATATTCCCTCTGCATATTATTTAGGAAGTTTTAATCGCTGACAAGATGCATGGGAATCCAAATTTATGTAACCCTCTTCCTATATTCTGTACTGCATGTAATATTCATAAGCCCTCATTAACCTCATGACAGAACAAGATTCCTAGCTGTCACTGATTGCAAACGGTATGAGAGAGTAGTTTGTTTAAGCAAATCATGGTGTACAGAAATGAACATTTGTTACTTCCAGTTTATATCTGATGCTTATCACAGGCTCTTCTAGAGGGACCTTAGACATTGTGTGTGTGTGAGGGCTCCAACAAATCCCCCTCATTCAAAGCAAAAGTCTCTAGCTGCATCTCAGAAAAAGTAAATTGGTTTATTAGAAATTGTCATGTTGGCGTGTGACTGTGTGCAGCCGATACTAAATCACATCATACATTTCCCCCTTGACCCTGGTCTTCCCCCTCCCCCCGATATGACTTCTCCAATAGGACACATCAGTCTCCAAGAGTCATCCATCATGATCTCCAATAACTTTCTTACGCTCCAACAACTTTGGGCTGCTGAGTTGATTATCTAGGCATTTCAAGAATGCCTTGTTTTCTCCCATTCCCTTTTTCTGGTAGCTAAAAAGATCAAAGGAGTATCTTTTTAGTTGACAGTGTGACTGAAAGAGCCGTCTTGCTAGCAATGTCAGATATCCCAGAAGCTTCTTCAGAAATTCATGTTCTTCTGTACAGGTAGTCCTCAACATACACAGCAGTGCATTTAATGACCATTCAAAGTTACAATGACACTGAAAGGAATGACGTATGACCGTTTTTTCACATGTATGACTATTGTGATGTCTCCATGGTCACATGGTCAAAATTCAGACTGGCAACTGACTCATATCATTTATGACCGTTGCAGTGTCCAAAGGTCATGTGATTCCTTTTTGTGACTTTCTGACAAGCAAAATCAGTGGGGAAGCCAGATTCATTTAAACAACTGTTTTACTAACTTAACAACTGCAGTGACTCACTTAACAATTGTGGCAAGAAAGATTTTAAAATGGGACAAAACTTACTTGATACATGTCTTATGTAGCAACAGGGGCTAAATTGTGATCAAATGGAGGACTACCTGTATTTATAGAGCATGTAGTGTCTCTTCCCAGAAACACTTTTAGATAACTAATTGGGCTTTTATAACAATGTTGGAGAAAAATAATAGCATAACAACCGAGATAAGGAAAGGGAAAAGAAAGCCACTTCTATGTAATTCTTCTTTTTTCCTTCTCCTTGATCAAGCCAACACAGATTATTTGCACAATGAAGGAGAAAAAAGGAAGGCTGCACTGCTGGAGAAGCAGATGGAGGAGACCACTAGGCTCCAGCAACAACTACAGGAAGAGGAAGGTTGTCTGAAGGAAGTTCACCATGCTGAGACTCACAGACTTAGCCAGGATATTCAACTCCAGGTTAGAGTTGCCTTAACTCACCGATTCAATATGTATCTAATCAGGTGCTCACATATATTTCCTTTCAGTTTGGAATTTTGTTTCTTCTGTTTTCTGAAGTAATCAGATTCAGATAAGCCCCTAATACACTCCTTGGGGATGCCAACAAACTCAGGATTTATATGGCTCCCCTTTTTGTGTCACCTGAGTAGAGTACTTCTGTATTTGAAGATGAACAACCTTGTTATATTATTTCAGTTGGTTTAAATTCACGGTTTTTAAAGACCACATATTTGGACTCACTTGGGATCTTTAAAAAAACTACGAATACAAATGTTAGCTTCTCCTCTGTATGCTGTAAACGTCACCAATTTCACAATTGCTTATTCCCTTTCCTGCTATTTCCCATTTTCTTGTTCTTTGTGGAGAGTGGTACTGCAAGAGAAATCCCTGTGGGTTTTCCCAAAGTTAGGGGAAGTTTGCCTACTTCCTTCTTTCTCCTTTAATTGAAGCTGTTCAAACTGAGGAGAGTTGTTTTTCCCCCCAAAGTGCACTGAGATAGTGTTGCTTGGGTAAATTAACTTGAGACAAAGTTAACAGCTTTATTATTTGGCTCCTGTGTCAGATGACCATGGGGCAGTTTCTGCTAATGGTAACTAGCTGATTTACAGTAGTTGCCACCCAAGATTTGTGAGATAGGGCATCATTACTGAAAACAAGCTATGCTATTTCTACCTAAATCATCATATGTGTTGTGGCCCACCAGCAGCTAGTGGAGCTGGAAGCAGAGTCGGACAGTGAGGAGGTTGGGGAGGAACAGGGGTCAGTCCTGGAGGCTGAGGAAGACTCGGATGAGGGCTCTGCGTCAGAGGCAGAGATGGGGCCAGGGCAGGCTGGCAGCCATCAGTTGCCTTTGGAGTCGGACAGCAGTGAGGCGGGGGAGCAGCTGGAACCAGTTCGCAGCCTGCACATGTGCAGAGCTGCCAAAAGAAAAGAACATTTACAAACAAAGGGTCGACATGGGAGTAATGCCACAGGTGGACTGTGAATGCCCCCTCCTGTAGGGTTTAAACAGGGAGGGTTTTGGTTTTTTTTAACCAAATTTTATTAATTTTTAAAGACATACAAAACATAGATACACAAAAACACAAAACATAAAAGCATAAAAAATCTCTTTTCTGAAAGTTGCTTAGTCCCGGGTTATAACTCTTGGTACAGACACAAATTCAAATTCATATTCATTTTACATACCATTTCATATCTTATTAACATTTTCAATTTTCTATATAACTTCTCCTCACTTTTAAATTTTCTCAATTTTATTTTATTTATCTCCTCAATTCGAATCATAATATTTATTATTCTTTGTCTGTTCTATTTCCAACCATCCATTTATTTTTCTTCTTTAAAAAAGAAGAAAAACTTCTCCTGTGCACTAAATGGAGTATGATGCCTTTATCTCCTTCCCCTATATTTATAATACTTAATATAAAACACATAACTTACATTGGGATTCTGTCTGGTACATTCTAAAATTATACTATATTATCAAAAATAATACAAATCTATTCATTAATATTGATATTCATTTATATCTTAAACATCTAACACATTACTTTTCAGTTAAATCACATACTTTTATGGGAGCACCTATTTTCCATAGTTATTCCCCGCCCCCACCTCACATATTATAGCTCATTATTTCATTACGATGTTCCTCCTTCTTCTACTTCAAATCTCTCATTTCACAAAAAATTCCGCTAATATACCATAATCTAATCATTAATATTAACAATCATTTATATCTTAAACATTTTATCCATTTCAATTAAATATCATGCCTTTGTGGGAACACTTATGCTTTCCAAAAATTATTACCCCTCCCACATCACATGTCTTAAATCATATTTCATTACCGTTCTCCCTTTTTCTTAACTAAAATTTCACTAGTTTATATTAAATATTTTATCACATTTTAAATTACATATTATTTCCAATTTTCTATGGTTATTTCTAAATACAAATATAAAAATGCAATCTTATGTACCTTTCTAGAATCCCAATTTCAATAAGATTTATCCATTATCTCGAAAAAACTTTTGCTTCTTCACATCTTGCTCCCCACCATTAAGGCTTCTCATCCCTTCCTTTCTCCCTTGCTTCTTCTTCTCTTTGTCCTCTTTAACCCCTTGTCTCTCCACCTCCCTTTTCTTCTGTTTTCCCTCTTTCTGTTGTTTCCTAACATAATGTCCCCTTTTCACCTTATTCTTCTCTTTTTGGGTTGTTTTTCCCTTCTCCAACCAAAGTTATTTGTTCATCAAAGATGGCTTCTTCTTTGTCCACATCATCCTGTTGCTCATTCTGCTTCACATAAGTATAAACCACCATTTCTAAAAATTGAAAAAGAGTGCCAAAAACATCTTTCCCTTCTTGCTTTTCTTTTTCATATTTTTGATATACAAGTTTCAGTCCATCCACAAATGATGCCATTGTGTAGAGAAAAAGTTTTTCCAAACAACCACCCAGATGTTTTTAATCAAAAATAATTCTCAAAAGTTCCAAAATCACCAAACAATCCAAACAGGCTATTTCTTTTAAATACCTTCTTCTTCTTCACTTTCTTTTTCTGGAGTTAAAGTTTAATCACAAAGTTCTCTTTCAAATATATATTTTTAGAAGTCTTATTGATGTTTAGTAACTCTTTAAAATTCTAGGCAATCTTCTCCTTATTTTCAAATTTTGCTCCAATTTTCCCCCCCTCTCCCTTCCCACTCACAGCCAAAAGAGTTTTTTCCATCCGCTATCACGTTAGGAAGGAGAGTGGAACAAAAAAAAAAAACTTTCCCATTTAGAATATTCGCAGCTTGTTACTCTCACTAGAAACAATATATACTTAGCAGCCTTCAAGGTTCCAGGTCACTTTCTTTTGCCTTGTCCCAGTTGAAAGCAGCTTTCACAATTCTTCAAACTTCCTCCCTCCTGCACCTGCTTGTCCGGCTGCAGATTTCTTCGTGGCAGCCATTGCTGACCGCCGTTCCTCCGCCTCGGGAAAAGGGTTTTTTTGCCAGCTGGGGAGGGGGTCTGCGACACCCCCAAACCCCTTTCCGGCTCCCCCCTGTCTTCAGCTGCCTCTACGGGGCAGCTATATCCCCCAGATCCAAACGGATCGGGGGAACCTTGGCGGCGAACGCAGCAGGGATCGCGCGGTGTCGCGAATCCCTGCTGCCGCCGAAACCTTGCAAACCGGAAGAATCAGGGAGGGGGCTTTTGTAGGAAACAATTAATTCTTTGCAGCAGTGTGAAGATCTTTCTGTGCATCTCAGAGACTATACTGAGTCCTTCCTTGTCAGCACTGTGTTTGAAAATATTTATTTGGCAGCTCTCCAAGCTAGATAAGGTCTGTGCTTCTAATTACATCTTTGAAAGACTGTTTACCAGGCCTTTGACTGAATGTAAATGCAAGAAATTCACCTTCATTTAATAAAAGGGATTTTGCTTAGTGCTTTTATGGGGAAGCCAAAGAGTCTGCTTAGTGCTTTTTGGGGAAGCCTAGGTCAGAACAATATGTTAACATCAGACTCCACTGAAGATGTTACCTAGCCTGGTAATGATACATTCAGACACCAACCCACATGCTTGGAGAACGAACCTTCACTCTCATCCTATACCCAAGCTGCAGATATTCACCACTATTGCAGATTAGAATATCCTTAACAGCCACCAGTTGTTGGTTGACTATGGATATGAACTAAACACTAAGTAATCTATCATTTTTCATCCATCAAATCTGCTTCTTTATCTCTGTGCCATAATGCTGTGTTAATAATTAACAATTTTCCATGATAAAAACATACTTTTTGCAATTGATCCTTTTTTTTTTGTTTTTTTGCATGGGTTTTTTCCCCCTCATACTTTAAAAGCCTACCAAACCTGTTTGATCTGATATTCAAGTAGGGGAAAAGAATGCTTCTAACATCATCAGTCTCTATTCAAAATTCTATGTAAGTATATTCAGATGCAGATTCATTAGGGTTATTCACAAAGCTGCATAAAATTAAAATGCTAATCTGGCCACTCCCATTTCAGTCAACTGGGAGTTTGGGAGTTGTAATTTAGAAGAGAGCAATATGAGGGAAACTCCTCAAAATTCTTTTTGGATGATTACAATGCAGAATGTTTTATGATAATGTTTTATTTTTGTTTATCTACAGCTTTACCTTTTATACCTTTCTCTCCTTTAGGTAGAGAAAGAGGACTTACAGCACAAACAATTCTCTGAAAAATATGATATGTTGAAGAGAGAACAGGAGGACACACTGCAAAGTAAGAATCTAAAACATGTTTACGGTATTTATGACACTTCTTCTGTTTCTGACTTTTTAAAAATAAAGTACCAATGTATGCCACCCTGAATTATATATAAAAAGGGCAGAAATAATAATCCAGATTAGTGTAAAACGAGTCTGTGGCAAGTCTCTACCATTAAAGATGAAGGCTGGGCATGAAATAAGTATGGCTCCCCACATCTAGACAGGATCAAGTTTTATTTATTTACTTAAAACATGTATATACCCACCCCTCTTATAAACAACTCTGGGCACCCCTCAATCAAAAGTTCAGATAACATGAAAACCACAGTGAACTGTAAAACCAAATACATTAAAACATAATAGCATCATTGACTGAGTTGAGTGGCCATAGAAATTTAACAAATAAATGAATAAAAATTAAAAACAATAAACACCTGACACCAAGTCAAACTTCTAATGTGCACTTACCTATTCTTATCCCATCACTTGGGGGGAAAGCTGGGTCTTCAAAGCTTTATGAAAGGCTAGGAGGTCAGAGGCCCGTCTGTTCAGAGTGGGAGAGTGTTCCTTAGGGCAGGGTAGGGGCTGTCACAGAAAAGGCAGCCATCAGAAGGCAATATTTAGGGGAAGGGAATAGGACACTGGCCACCTATCTGACCTGGTATGAGGTGCAAATGTCCTTTGGGGCTTTGAATAGAGCCTCGGTGGTGCAATGGTTAGAGTGCAGTACTACTGCTGACAGCCAGCTGCCTGCAATTTGGCAGATCGAATCCCACTCAAGGTTGACTCAGCCTTCCATCCTTCCGAGGTGGGTAAAATGAGGACCCAGATTGTTGGGGGCAATATACTGACTTTGTAAACTGCTTAGAGAGGGCTTTAGAGCACTATAAAGCGGTATATAAGTCTAAGTGCTATTGGGGCTCCCTTGCCTTGCAGTTTAATATTTTGTTTGAATGAGAGACCTTCGGAAGAACAAGCTTCAATTTACACATACTGTACGTGTTGATAATAATACAGATTCTATTGCTTTTCTTCATGGGCTTGGTTCTGGTGGTCTAACATTCCTACAGTGAGATTGCCAAATTGTCCATTGGATCTTCTGCCTCTCAGTGCTTTCCCTTTGGGTCCTACCTGTCACAGATAGTTGTCTTTTATTAACAGCAGAATTAAGCCTCTTTCTCCAGTTTGATGGGAAGGATGCCAAAAGATGGCTGAGTGACCAAAGCGTAAGTAATAACCACAGAGACTCAGCAAGAAATGGCAGCAATAGCATCACATTTATGAGCACAGGTTTTAATGACTGATCACTTATCACCTCTAAAAAAGCTTTAGTTGTAATTTTGCTATAAAGAAAGAGGTGCCTTCAATTGCTTCTCTGGCAATTGGTGATGCTTGCAGGAAACTCTTGGCTCATCACCAGTATGACATCTCCCCAAACCAATTTGCCATCATTCAGTTCTTGTTCCCTATAGAAAGCTCATATTCACTTGAGATGCACAATACTTTAATAATGTGGCTCATCCTGTTTTTCAGCGCCTTCTGGCTCTTTGTCTATCCAATTTCCTATGCTCTGTTTGCTTACTCCATCTGCCTCCTGGATGTGACTCATTACGAGTGATTTCTCAGTCACTGCATATAAAGAGATCATGGATACATCAAAGTGGAGCTTGTGTTTTCTCTTGTTTGGACCCCCATTTTGTCTTTCTCTTGCAGAACTCCAGAAAACGCATGATCAAGAGAAGCTGTTCCTAACTGAATCCTACCAAAAAACTCAGGCATCTTTGCAGGTACCAGTTTCTCCGCTTCAGGAAGCAGAAAGCTCTAGATTCAGTACAGTGGGGATCAAAATGGCAGCCAAAAAGGCTATCCTTATCCCACCCCTTCACCATCCTAGCCCTAACACAGTGGCGTGTATGAATATTCATCTATAAATTGCTACCAGTAATCCTCAGTGAACAGTCATTTGTTTAGTGACCATTCGAAATTATGATGGCGCAGAACAGAAAGGTTTACCGCCTATCCTTGAGGTTGCAACCCTCACAGTGTACCTACAATCCCATGATTGTGATTCAGGCATTTACTGACTCACACTTATGAGGCTCACAGCATCCTGCAGTCACGTGATCGCCATTGGCAATCTTCACTGCTGGCTTCTGACAGCAAAGGAAGTTGCAAAAGGAAATCGTGACATCACTGATACCTGGTGGTGCAGCAGTTAGAGTGCAGTCCTACAGGCTACTTCTGCTGCCTGCCGGCTGCCTGCAATTTAGCAGTTCGAATGTCACCAGGCTCAAGGTTGACTCAGCCTTCCATCCTTCTGAGGTCAGTAAAATGAGGATCCAGATTGTCGGGGGCAAAATGCTGACTCTCTAAACCGCTTAGAGAGGGCTCTAAAGCACTTTGAAGCAGCATATAAGTCTAAGTGCTATTGCTATCACACTTAACGATTATGAGGGATTCACCTAATGACCTCAACTGAAACTGCCAATCATAAGGTCGGCATAATCATGTGACAGCTCACTTCACAATTGCGTCGCCTAGCTAGCTATTACATTTCCCAGCTGTAATTATTGTAGTTGACTAAGGACAGTATAGGTCTGGGTGCTTTCATATGTGTAAATATGATGTGAAGATTTGCATTTTTGGGATGATTTGGAAGGAGGGGTGGCACTGGTGCCTCATAAGTTTTGGTGCCCTAAGCCAGTATATTCCTGGCCATTTAGGTAGCCCTTGCCTTATCAACTGCCTCAATTAGCAACCATTCAAAGTTATGATGTTATGAAAAAAAAACAGCTTTGCAACTAATCTTTGCATTGACATCCATTGCAGTAATCCCATGATCATGTGATTCCCGTTTGGACATTTTGCAACCAATGGGCATTTACACCTGTTGCATGTCCCATGGTTGTTACATGATCACCATTTGCTGTGCTTCCCAGCTCACTTCTGACAAGCAGAGTAACATTGGAGAATACAGAAGTCACATTGTAAGTTGCAGTCTTGTGATGCATCAATTTTGAATTCTGTTTATAATGAAGTACATGGTTTGTACTCTTGAATGTATGACAGTGGAAAAATCTGTTGCTAAAAATTGAAATATGGTATCAGGAGGTTATCATTAACAGCAGAACTGACAGACCTGACAAATCAGTTTGCTTAAATAACTGTATAAACTGCTCCTGTATTATTAAATATATTACTTTTGAAGGAATCATCTCTCTGCCATGACAAAGAAAGGAGCCATTAAAGTTACCTGTTGATAATTACAATACAGAGTTCAGTAAATCATAGTGAAGTATATTTGTCTAATAATGATAAAAACGTCCTAAACTTTCATCTCTGTTTTGATCTGCATTGTTCTACCTGGTCCCTTCCCAATTATACTTTCGTACTTCTATAGGACACAATGTTGGGGGATATAAATTGGATCATTCTATTATAGATTGTACTTGGAGGAATTGGGGATCATGAAACTAGCTGTACTATAGGTGTGTAGTGGTAGAAAATTATTATTGCTATTCTGTTCTTGTTTGGAAACACCAACATTCTTATTAATGGCCTATGGCATCTTCCAGAGTCTTCTACTCATAATAAAGAAGAAACAGGGGAGGTCTTGTGATATCACAAAAATGGATGGATACTACTATAATATCACTGGTGGAGAAATGTCCAAAACCAGTAATATGCTAGTATAGCATTCCAACTGCTATGGCTTCTGTATCAGAAACGGCAAAAGGAAATTTTGCTCCAAATCATTAACCTTTGAGGTTCTGATGAAATTAAAAATGAGGTAGCCAATGGTGAAAACAACTCATTCCAGCACTATGGCACTGAGTGTGGAGAGCAGGGAAAATCCGATGAAAGTCATCAAGAAAGAATAATCTGTCTTATTTTTCTGCTCCAGGAGACTATTGACAAGCTGACTTCCCAGCTGAAGGCCTTTCAGGAGAAAATGAAACGGGTAGAAGAGTCAATTCTGAGCAGAGATTATAAAAAGCACATTCAGGTGACTTTACCACTGTGCGGGATAGCTTGATCTGTTTATTTAAAGACAGCAAGTAAGAAAGTCTAAACAGCAGGGTCTTCTGAATATACCAAAATAAAACCACAATAAAAAAGGATATTTATATTCTTTTGCTTTCAGCAGCCATTCTGCACTACCAGGTCATAAGAACATTTTTTTTCCCCAGTTCCCATTGCTGCTTGGTTTAGTGTGCTTAAAACTGTTTACAGTTAGTCCTTGAATTACGACTAACTAACGTGGTCATAAAGCATAATGTCACATGATCACATCACTTGGCAACGGTAAACCCTGCAGTCCTTGTTGCTATTGTCATTAAGTGAAAATAGTGGGTTGTTAAGTAAATATTTTCTCTCAACTTCCTGCTGGTTTCCCACAAACAAACTCGACATGGAAGTCAGCAGGAAGTTGCAAACCCCAGGTGGCTTGCAAACAGGACAGAGACTGGCAAGTGGCTACTGCTGGGTGGGAGAAGGAGAAAAGGAATGCAAAGATGGCTGCAGGTGGGGTGCAAGCATACATAAGTAGCAAAGGACACACAGCGGAGCATGGTGGGGCTTGGGGTGACTGCTGCTGGGTAGGGGAGGGTGCACAAGTTTGTGCAGGTGACCAGAAAACAAGCACAAGCACACAGTCTCAGAGAGGGTACACAGGTGGGAAAGACTTACCCAAGAAACTTGCAGCTTTCTCTGCTGGCTACCACATGACTTTGCTCGTGGGAAGCCAGCAGGGAAAGTTGCAAATCGTAGTCACCTGATTGAACGATGCTGCAACTATTGTAAATGCAAGTCAATTGTCAAGTTCTTGGATTGCAATTATTGTCCACAGTGGTGTTGGGATGGCCAGAATTTCAAGGAACAATCATGATCACCATTGGTTCAGTGCCATTGTAACTTTAAACAGTTGCTGAATGAGTGATCATTAAACAAGGACACCTGCTCTTATTATGCTACCTGAGATTCAATTACTGTACTTTGTATGGCTCACAACAATCAAACAAGAAATTACAATAAAACAAATGAAATAAAAAAGATGGCATGCATATTGAAGTGAGAGGTCTCATCCTCTCTTGCCAAAGGCTTACAGTGGGTGAAGTGGGGATCATCTGGATCTTCGGGGGAATCTCATTCCAGAGGGCAAATGCAGAGATGTGCACTTCCAGGATCCTTATAGGGGATATTGCTTCATTAAAGGAAACTGGAGTGTGTCAATTCTGCAGGACTGAATCAACAGGGCAGACACTATAGGAAATAGCCAACCTCCCAAATAACCAGGTCCTATGCTATGTAAGGCTTTCTAGGAAGCAGCCACCTCCCTGGAAGCAAATTGGCAACCAGTGTAGCTTGCAGAGCACAGGTGTCACAGGGATCAACCAAAGCATGCCCATTCCTGCTTTGGACTAGTTGAAGCTTAATGCCTTTTGTTGCTAGCTATTTTGGCAACTTATATTGGGGGGTGGGGGGAAACAGAGCCGCTACAAACAAATAAATTCATTTCTCTCTTTTTAAAAATAAAAACCTTTATTTTAAAAGGACTATGGGACCCCCAGCCAGTTCTGGGAGCAAGAACTAGAGAGTCTACATTTTGTCATTGAGATGAAGAATGAACGCATCCACAGCTTGGACAAGAAGCTGCTGAACCTGGAAATAGTGGTGGGTTACTTGTATGAATTCTAAATGTAACTGAAAAGACTAATAAAAGAGCTGTATTGTGCTTCAAAAGAGAGAGAGAATCGCCTGTTCCCATTTTGTGCCACTAGATACTCTGGAATGAAAAGATAGGAATACAGGTAACTGCCTTATTCTTCCAAATGACCAATTTTTTCATGGCCCAAATCATCTAATCTCACTATTAAAATGAAGAATGGCTTGAGAGGCTCTTTTAGGACACTGCGATGCAGCAGGTACTGGTATTTTCACATGTTTATGAATATGCAGTATTTTCAGAGAATGGACAGTCCAGTTGAGAAAGTCCAGAAATATTTCACAAGAAGAGTTATCCGCTCCTCTACTCGTTGCAGAATACCTTATCCCACCAGACTTGAAACTCTAGACCTAGAAAATCTAGAACTATGCTGCCTTCGGTCCGATCTAAGTATAGTATATAAAATTATACATTGCAATGTCCTACCTGTCAATACTTCAGCTTCAACTATAACAATACAAGAGCACACAATAGATGCAAACTCAAGGTTAACCACACCAAACTTGATTGCAGGAAATATGACTTCAGCAACAGAGTGGTCAATGTCTGGAATACTCTACCTGACTCTGTGGTTTCTTCACCAAACCCCAAAAACTTTAACTTTAGACTGTCTACTATTGACCTCACCCCTTTCCTAAGAGGCCTGTAGGGGACATGCATAAGCGCATCAATCGTGCCAACCGTCCTTGTCCTATTGTTTCTTTTTTTTATTTTTCTTATACATATCCATTTCATGTATTCATAACTATGTTTATACTTATGCCTGTTATCTTGTAAGCGATTGACAGATCAAATAAAATAAAATAAAATAAAATTTCCCCTTCCTGGTCATTAGATAAGCAAAGAAACATCTCAGCCAATCAGTAGTCATCTACCAGCCTAATTAGGGATGCCTTATAATCCCACCCCTCTGATTTGTGAGGAATTACAACAAAGCCCTTCCTTCTATTCTCCAGAATGAGCAAGAAACCACAAGCCTTTTATCAACTGGCCATAGCAGGATCCCTTTATGCAAACCTGCCATTCCCCTCTTTGTCTTATGGGATAATGGGAGCAGGGAGGTGGAATCAGGGGTCTCCTACAGCCTCATAGGCTGCTTGCTCTTTGCAAGACAAGGCTGTGATTCACTTCCACTTTGGCAATGGTACTTGTTTCCATTTTGCACAAAACCTCCCAAGTGCAATGGTAGGGAGGAGGTGACAGGCTAAGCATCTAGTGATTATGTTGACAGATCACTAGGGGACTCAGTTCTCCTTGTGAGCAGATCCATGTAGGACTCAAAGTCAGATCACTGATAATATTGAATATGTTTTATTTATACTGGTAAGGATTCTTGAGGGTTATGGATAAGCATTTTTCAGCCCGAATTGGAACTGTTGGGAATTGGAACCTTTGACCTTCCCTGAAAATCATGTGCTTTTTCATAAAATTACATGCTAATGTTTGGAGTTGTAATCCAAGACTTTTGGAAGGTGCATTTGGGCTTGAAAAATGCTTTACAACCAGTAATGTTCTTCCATTTCCTTCAAAAGGCAAGTGATTCCCAATTCTCGACAGATATGAAGGCAGAGACCAGGATTTTATTAGTGCACTTATAAATCTACAGTTTCTAGGATGAAAATGTGTTTAGGGTGATCACATTCCTATATAAAGTTCCGTGGCTTGCTCCTTTGTCTTTATGTGACTGTGAACTTCTTGCGTGCTATACCTTCATTGTATCTGAGGTTTGTCACCCTTCTGATCCTCTTTTAGATGGAGTCAAACTTACTACTTGAAGAGAAAATTAAAATTCTACAACAGGAAAATGAAGATCTCCAAGTACGGATGCAGAACCACATGACAGTGACAAGGTGGAGTCTTCACTACAGTAACAACCCTTAAAAGATTTTATTTTATTTTATTTTATTAGATTTTTATCTCACCTATATTACTTTATAAGTAACTCAAGGAGCAGAAGAACCTATTTTCCACAGAACAAGAAAACTGTGAATTGGGTGGAGTCCAGAGAGACTGTTTGGCCCAAAGTCACCCAGCCAGCTTTTATAACTAGGCAGAACTAGAATTCAGCCACCTTGGTTTTATCCTGGTGCTTTAAGCACTAGACCCAAACTAGCTCCCATTCAAAGATGATTCCTGTTTGATCAGTTTTCCATGTCAGTGTGTAATCTGATGACTGTGGGAAATGTTTTTCTTCCCCAAAGTCTCACGGCTACCGCACTTAGTAGCATTACAAACAAGTAAAGAACTACTAAATTGGGCAGTTTTTAAAAAAACAATGTTTATTTTCAACAATATATTACGTGTGCTTTTCTCCCCAGTCAGTAATTTCTCCTAGTAGAGAAATGGGTGCATGCTTCGTGGCTTCCATATGTTTTTAAACTGCAGCTTTCCATTATTCCTCCCAACTGATAGACTAGCTGGGCTCATACCACACGCTAAGCCATAATGGCATTACTCTGGCTTTGTCTTAAAAGCCACTAGGGTTTGGAAATCATGGTTTATGACTTATAATGATGTATTCAAGAAATTATGATCAAGGAAATCATGGCTTAGCATCTTGGGCAAACTCAGGCTACAGCTGATGACAATTAAGAGTTCAGTAACATTTGAAGAGCCACAAATAAGAACAGACTCTATAGGACTTTCTGACCCTGGAATTAACTGAGCTTGTCATTTTTGAGGCCGCAAGGATTTTCCTCCAGAGAGTGAGACATGTATTTTGGGGACAATGCAGAATACCAGCTATTTAAAGGGGTAAATTGGCCATTTTAAAATATCTTCAAGGAATCAAGAACCTGTTATGGTAATCCCCAACCCTTCCCCAATGCAGAAAATAAAACAAATTATTAGATCCAATTAGAAAGGCTTTGAAGACCACACAAGCTTCAAAGCCTTTCTAATTGGAAAGTCTTTAAATGTAACTACTAAGCAGTGGAAGTTTTACACCTGGTTTATATAGAAGAAGTGGCAAATCCTTGGAATGAAAACTGATGCATACTTCTTCCTTCCTTTCTGTACAACGTAGTCTAAGAATTGTAATTCTTACCATGCTTTAATAGGCAGCTGTCTGAGGAGCTTCTGACCATTCGTGATGCCCTGGAGAAGGAGACCCAGCTGAGGGAGCAAGGTCACCGAGAGAAAGAGGAGCTCTTGTACAGGGTGCTTCATGGCGATTCAGGCCACTCCTTTGCTATCTCTACTGAGACCTCACTCATTGCCACATAGCACTTTGAGAGGCCAAAGACACTGACGTGGTATAAAACCAGAAAAGGAGGGAAGGAGACCACAATGTGACTGTTTCATCATTGCATTCTACTCCAGAGGTGTTCAGATATTTTTTTTTAAATCCCATGGACTAAGGTGGCCTTCAAGGGACATGCCGTAAGTCACACTCCTCCCCAACAAATGAGGGCCAATTTAAGAAATGGGAGTAGAGATAACGTTCACATTAAATGAATTAAATAATAATTCCCTGATTATTTAAGAATTTTCCATTTCTGCCACATTAATAATTGCAATGTATTGGTGTAGAGGGGATCATGCCGAAGGCTGGCAAGGGAGGGCTTGGGTCCAGGTTGTACACCACTATGCTGGCCCTGGTGTTATTCTATGGCCTAAGGACAATTCTTGTTGGGATTTTCTCTTATGCCCTTATTCCTTGAAATCTTGAAGAATGGGATTTTTGCATCTTCCTTTCAATTTCAGTGCTAGTCAAGGAGTTCATCCTTTGGATATTTTGTGGTATTCAGCAGTCAGATCAGGTTTTGTCCCTCTCCCAAGAAGTAGCAGAATTAACTACCTCATATAATAGACCATGTGAGGGGGTAAAAAAAAATAGAGAAGAAGGAGTAGGAGCTACAAATAAAGTGCACTTCACAAAGTCACACATCTGTGAGATACTAGATTCTAAATGCAAGGTTTACACTTGATTTCAGCCAATGGAACTAGAGCTATACCAAAATTCTAAAGTAATTGCTTTAGAGCCAAAGCTTTGTAAATTTGAACAGATTTATAACTAAGTTTCTTTCTCCATTGCATCTTTCGCCTGTTGTGTGTCTCCATGATATTTCTTTTATCTTGTGCCTAGCTCATGTGTGACTCAAAAAAGCTTAAGTCATCCTTAGCTGTGCTTGGATTAAAGTAGTACAATATTTTCACCTTATTCCAGTCTGGTCAAGGATGACCTTTCTCATCTAGTAAAATCAGGGGACTATATGAGTAGTGCCTTAAAACTAGGACAATTGTAAGATTGTCACCATAGACTTAGGATATAAATTACCAGTGGGGCAACAAATTTATGATGTTCTACTGATTTAAGGATGGTTGGATAGCACTTAACACAATAATGGAAAAAGACCTTAAGGAAGAGGTTCTTAACCTGGGGTGACTGCATTCTCAGGAAATGTGAGATGCAATTTCAGGAGGCATGACAAAGAGTGACTTGTGTTCCTTAGTGACAGGTCCAAGTCATAATTACTTTTTTAGGGGGTGCAAATATTAATCAAACATTTTCTGGGGGCATGGGGCATCATAAACAAGTTTGGCAACCACTGCTTTAAGGGAAGATGTTGTACTTTTTCCTGCCACATGGGGCTGCTTATCCTTGATCACTTTTCATCTCCCTAAGAAAAGGTTTTAAAAATTTCTCAGTTATGTGAGCTTGATTGTTCTGGATCTCCCCATTTTCTCAGTTGTTAGAATTATGACCAGTCCCTGCCAACATCTTCTTATCTAATCTTCTAGAATCTGGATAAAATACCTGGTTCTCACAGATTTGGAAGACAACAGAAAAAAAGCATCATTTTAGTTCATTTGCTTCCAGAACCAAACTCTTTTGTCTTGTTTGACAGGGTCTCTCTTTGCTGGTTCAAAATTTTGAGGATGGTATATTAGAGTGGTCCTCAAAAATTGAACAGAGATCGAAATTCTTATTGTATGATTGTTTTGTAAAGCTGATAAATGACAATGCCCTCTACTGATTGTAGGGTGGTACTACAAGTTATATAAAAAGTAATTGTCAAATTGGAAGTACTATTATAGACATGTAATAATTTAAATTCAAAGACATTGGATGTTAAAATGTATTGTTCTAATGAAGAGATTATATTGGTGTTTATTGTGGTTCTAGTGCAATGTAGACACTGAATGAAGTGAATAAATATTGATAGTTAGCATTGCAATATATTCAAGGAAAGTTGATTTAGTTTTATCTGGAAAAAAACATTAGATTTAATTAACTTCTGAACTACTCTCTAGCTAAATGCAATGATCTGTGTGACCCTCTCCAACATATAATAATTTCTATCCAACCGAACTAATTGTTTAGGGCAAAACTGTTCCCAGGTAATTTTTCCACTCTATTCTGCCCTGATTAGACCACATGTGGAATATCACATCCAGTTGTGACATTGCAGTTCAAAAAGGATATCAAACTGGAGCAGGTTCAGTGGAGGGTGACCAAGATGGAGAACAGTTAAAGAATCTTGGTGTATTTAGCCTACATAAAGGAGGAGATATATGACAGCAGCTTTCGAATATTTGAAGAACTATCACATAGAAGAAAGAATGGATGTATTCTCTGTTGCCTAATAGTATAGAACCAATGGATTAAAACTACAAGGCAGTAGATTCAGGCTAGATATTAGGAATATCTTTCTGACTGATATCCTTCGGTAGAATAGGCTGCTACATGAAGTGGTGAGTTCTACCTCACCAAATTGTTGGTCAGCTGTCAGAGATGCTCTAGTGCACAGGTATCACACCCACGGTGTCACATTGCTGTCACATGATGTTTCATGACATTTTTTTCCCTTCACGGAGCTGGGGTGGGTGTGGCCTGCACATGATGCATCTGGCCCTGTGAGCCGCCAGTTTGACACCCCTGCTGTAGTCTAGTGGATCCTGTATCAGCAGGAACTAGATGACCAAGTTGTACTATGATTCTAGGAAAACTCCATAAAAGCTCTTTTTATTCAACACCAGCACTTAGGCAATAACTGATTAAAAATTTCCTGGGCAACATCACTCTACCCATTATTTTGATTGGTTCTCTTGACTTACCATATTGGCCAAGCCTAGTTCTCAAGAAGTGAGTTTTATAGGAACATCTACTGTTTTTCAGAATGAAAGATTTATACAAAGGAATGTACAGGCTTATGTACCATGGCACTACATTATGCCAACAGACAATGGATAAATGTTATCCTATAGATAAATATTGAAGCCCAACGGAACATAGGATTGCAGCTTGTAGGACCAAGTCATATACCTGGGTTCTGAAATAAGGTAATGAAAGATAAGAATAGCTTATTGAAAAAACAGCAGGTGAGAAGTCAACCCCAGTGCAACAGACACACCTTTGGCCCCAATGATACCTACCACTTTTGTCAATCCCATTTACAATCATAAACTCTTTATTTCCCTGATCTTGAAAATCTGGTACAGGAGAGGTATTTGGTTTTGATTCTTTGCTTGTCATAAGATGTTAAAATTAGGAATTATATTATTGCAAGTATGAATCACTGTGACATGAGTAACATTTGAAATTATCATCATAGCTCCAAAGCTTACAAAAACTCTAGTAATAGTTCAGATTACAGGAAATATGTATTTATTTAATCTCATCTTTATTATTTTGATGAGTAATTTATAAAGATTCACTCTGGATAGTGAGATAGATGACATATAAATTTAATAAATAAATAAATAACTCAAGGCAGCAAACATACCTAATACTCCTTTCTCCTGATATTTTCCCTACAACTCTGTGAAGTAAGTTGATATAAGAGAGAGTAACATCCAGCTGACTTACATGCCTAAGGTGGGACCAGAACTCTCAGTCTCTTGGTTTTTAAAAAGCCTGATACTGTAATCACTAGACCCAACTGGCTAGCTAGAATCACTAGATCTGAAATACTAATTCCAGATAAATCACAGATGGCAACAAAAAAATTATACTTTTATCTCCTTACTGCCATCTACTGCCAGAGTTATTAGCTCAGTTCTCATAGTTTTCATTATTTCCAGCAGTAGCTATTCACTCATATAATTATGCATTTAGAAAACCACTTTATTAGCAAGTACATTATCTGACTTTACTGCCTGCTCTGTATTTCAACTAGAGATCCTTCCATTTACAGTACTACTAGTTACAGAACTAAAGTTTTAATAAGAACAAATGGAAGTCTTATTCCTGGACTAACTCAGAAAAAGGCACAAATCAGCCACTGCTGTTTTTCCCTATTTTTTTGTGCAGAAAACCAATGAATACAGTTTTTTTAATGAAAAAAATAATATTTATACAAGTATTTGCATTTTTAAATATATATTCTCAAAAAGTTCTTTGGGCTTTTCCCTATAATGCCTTAACAGATGCCGTAAGATATGCTACTTAGAAATGGTGGAGACAAATGATACAATATCAAAAATATTCACAACTTTTACTGACATTATTTTAAAATGCTATTTTATAGATACCTATTTTTCTTACTGTGTGAATTTTTTTTCTGTCAACACATCTTTTTTTCATTAAAGCACTTCAGAAAAAAAACTGATGTTTATGATTAAAAATATGAGGAAGGTGGTATTTGCATATTGGTGCAGTTAAAAGTGAGGGCTAGACTTGGTCTGATCTACAACTGGTAATGGTCCTTTCCTTGAGGTGCAACCATTTAGTAATGACAATACCTTCTGTTCAGTAACAAAAGAATATTTCTGCCCATTTCCTAAAAGAGACCCTCTTCTTAATGCAAATTCCAAAACCATAGAAAGCAAATATCTTCTATTATGAAAAGGAGTTGAGAAAGTATTTCCAGAAATGAGTTTTCTGTTTGGAGGAGCTATATATAAATAGCCAGCAAACTCTCTTATTCCTATTATTTTCCCTACTATTGCTTTTCTTTGTGTTTTAAATTTGCACAAGCTGTCTTGTTATTGTTATTATGAAAGACAGAATAATGAATTGAAAAATATAACTGAAGGCTTACATAAGACTATAGGTAAAACAAGTGTGGATCCTTGACAATGTAATTCTTTTCCTACTCTTAATGCTGGTACTTATAAGAAAAGGAAATTATTTAAGGGTAGGCTAACCAGCCAGCAAGACGAGTCATTGCTTATCATTGTTTTATTTTACTTTTTTAGCCATCCTGAGAAAACAGCCCCATCATTATTCGTGGATCATGATAGCCTTTTGTTCAGTTTTCAAAGAGAGTAATGCCAGAGATCACCCATAGACCAAAGATCTGGAAAAATTGTTCTGCAAGACAAGCTCCCCTCACTACCTACTTGTATCTCCTGTCCTAGTAGCCCCAAGTGAAAACAAGAACAATTTTTGGCTCTCCAAAAACAGCACAAGGGACACTGCAATTGTTTCTGGTCTGAAAGGATGCTGTTAAAGGGTTGCTTGTGATTTAGGAGCTGAGGAGGTTTGGAAAAAGTAGAAACCAAAGACAAATATGTCTCCTTTTTTCCAACACTTTGGCCATTATAGATTCAAATATCAGCTGCCTCTACACTCAGAAGTGCTTAACCATAGCTATGAAGATACCAAAGTGATGGTTTCTTTTACATTACAGAAAAATATGTAAGGGGTAGGGAACGTTCAGGCTGATGTTCATGGCACTGTGATTTGACCTCCACCATTTTGGTAATGTGTAGGTTTTCTGCACTGGCACTGCGGTCGTCCAACCAGCAAGCAAGCCAAAGTCCAGAGATCTGCAAACTCAAGAGGTTTTGGAAGCCAAGAGTCCTTTTTGCCTAGAGCTTAGAGATGATAACTGTAACAAAATAAAGGCATGGCACAGGTCAAGTCTGACAAACATAACAAATCCCTCCTCCCCCCAAAAAGACAAGAGGCACAATATTGTGGAACATGATATTCAAAGTACCACAGTAAGCATGGCAAACATGACATGAAATTCAAAGTACTAAGGTAAGCATGGCAGAACTTGAGACTTGAAAAGTTTTTCCACGTTTTTTTTCAGGGAGGGAGGCCAATCAAGAAGCCAGGCTGAACCACCTCCCAGAAGCGCAGATCAGCTATGTTGCTCATTGGAGTCTATTCTCCTGTCTGCCAGCTTTCTTGGCTGGTCTGACTTGTGAAGATCAGCCCTCTGATTCTGTATCTTTAAAACATGCCTCTGCTTGGGACTGGGTGGGTAAACCTCAGAATCTGAAAGGTTTGTTAGTAGGTTCAGGCAAAGATTCCTGCAGGCTTGCCAGACCTGCCTCAGCAAGAATGGAGTCATTGGTTTCAACACCGCTACAATCACCTTCTCTAGTGTAGCTTATAAAATATACTGTATTTGAGATTCTTGTAACTTTGGTTCCCCTTTACCTTGTTTAGCACAAACAGTTCTGTTCTTTCAGTTGTTACCTTGTTTCTGTTGTTTCTATAGCTGTTTCTTTTAACAATTGTTGGATTGTTATTATCCAATCCCTATATGCAGGTTGTGGGAACACCAGAGTTTAAGAATACTTGGTTAGTTTATGGGTTAATTTGTCCTTTGCCACTCTGCTGCAGCCTTCATCTAGAGCAGTGGTTCCCAACCTTTTTTTCGCCCCGCACCCCTAAAGAAATTTCACTCGAACCTTGCACCCCCTGAAATTTATATTTTGCTCAAGGATAAATTATGCGAATTCCGAATAATATTTTATCAAAAAAAGATTGTTACTTTATTCTTTAATATAATTTACCTGGACTTTTCTCGTACCCCCTGGAATATCGTCTCGCACCCCCAGGGGGTGCGAGCACCCCAGGTTGGGAACCCCTGATCAGGGCAAGGGTCTTCAGACTTGACAAATTTAAGACTTGTAGACTTCAACTGCCAAAATTCCTGAGCTAACATGACTGGAGGAGGAATTCTGGAAGTTGAAGTCCACAAGTCTTAAAGCTGTCAAGTTTGAAGACCCCTGATCTAGTGGATATGAACGATTAATTAATTATATGTTGTTCTAATTTTCTTCCAAGTCAGTTTTTGATTCTTGGTAACTGCCTGGACTAGCCCCTTTGTTGGCAAGGGTTTTTTTGGGGGGTGGGGGGTGGGGGGTGGGGGATAGCTTGCTCTTGCCTCCTTCCTCAGGTTGAGAGAAGGACTTTCTTAAAGTCACAAAGATGTGAGATTTGTGCTTAAGGTGGGACTTGAATTCATCGACTTCAGGTTTCTAGCCTAATGCCTTAATTTCTACACTAAACTGACTTTCATTTCTGTTACCTATTGAGAAATAGAAGTAAATGGATAACATTGAAAGCATTGTTATGAAATAAGCCATTTCATGCCATGGTTTCTTTAGAGTCATTTTTAAAAAGTGACATTTGAATCTGTGCTGTTTGTTAAATGAGTTGGTTTCTCTAGAGATGAATCTTTGTTCTTCTTCTCTGTGCTGTGACAAATTCCATAGCCAAAGTAAATGAGAAAACCTGCAACACATAGGACAGCAGCATCACTCTTTTCCTTTCAAAACGTAAAATAAATAGAATAACCCCATAACAAACACCCATATAAAATAACATTTATAGTAATATAGTCTATGGTTGACTTTGTAAATAAAACACTTGTTATCAAGATTATGAAAGTTAATACCTCATCCCTCAGTCATAATTTATTTTACCTACAATTGACCAAAATCGACATAACGGTAAGCCAAAATGTGCCTTAGTTGCTTTCAACTCCAGCCAGTTGTGGTTTGTCCAGTAAACCAAGGTTAAACAATGGTTCACAACTCACTAAATCAAAACCCCAAACCAAACCATAGCAGCACAATAAGTAAATGAACTACATTTCTTGTGGTGCTATGGGCTAGTAGTGTCCTTATTTTTTATGAGTTGTATGTGATTTGGATCTGATTACACTGCACAGGCCCTTGATGGCCTGCACATCTCATTGTTCTGACGGGGTACAAACAAATTTAATTGAAAAGCATCGGTGATACCCCAGTCAGATGCATTAACCAATGTTTTAATTTAAAATTTAACCTGCCCTATAGCCTCAGAAACAAAAAAACAGAAAAGGAAGAGGTTATTTAGACCAGTGATCCCCAACCTTTTTTATGGCGCGGCCCAGTACCGACATCAGCTGGGCGCCGCCATCTTTTTTTGATGAAAAAGTGCTTCCGGTGAGCTCACCGGAAGCACTTTTTCATCAAAAAAAGATGGCGGCGCCCAGCGCTTCCGGTGAGCTTTTCCAGGTAGAAATGGCTTTCTACCCGGAAAAGCTCACCAGAAGCACTTTTTCATCAAAACAAGATGGCGGCGCCCAGCAAGCCAGCGGCCCGGTAGGACTTGTTCCACGGACCGGTACCGGTCCACGGACCGGTGGTTGGGGACCCCTGATTTAGACAATAGAATCCATCTCCCTGCTCAATGCAGAAATCCATATTCAAGCATCTCAGACAAATGGCAGTTTAGCTTCCATTTGGACACATTCAATGAAGGAGAATCAACCACTCTTCCAGGTAACTGACTCCACTGTCAAATAGCTCTGTGAACCCTGAGGGAAAAAAAGAGCTGCAACCAAGTTAAAGGTGATATAAGCAGGAATGGAATTTGAAAAGTGTCTCAGAATTGACCTGCCTCATTCCACAATCCTTTCTTCTGTCAAAGAATAAGCCATAATTATAATTTAGCAACTCTAGTGAGATAATAACCAAGAACTTTGCCTTATCAGTATTCAAGGGACACAGATGGACAAATCATGATTGATTTGAAGCCTATTGAGTACATCTCTGCACTTACCAATAAGCAACCATATTGAGAACAGAACCCAGGTCTCGTAGCTCAGTTGGGCCATCAGAAAAATATTGACGAAGATACTGAAGATGGGTAGGAATGGCAGGCATGGTACCTAAATTAACACACATATATTTAGGCATTCAACTTTAATAAAAGTGTGGCCTTCTACAGGCTTCATAAGACATATCAACATTCCTTTTAGGATTCCCAGACTCTTCAAAAATGGGTGAAGTCAAAATTGTTGGATCTTTTTCTGCAGTATGAGAGGGTGGTTAATGGGTGTTTTAAGCTTTGCATAGACTTAAAATATCCAATGTATTTCTTAAAATCTATGCAAACTCACAAAAAGATCAGGTACTTTTCCCAGGTTGATGGATTTTAATGAAATAAATAGAAGCGTACCTTTTTATAGTTAACTATTTCACCCTTCAAATTTCCCCCAGTTTCCCCTCAAAAACAAAAAAAGTATCACCTCCTATGATGATTTTCTTTTCTAATTCTTGTCCTTTTAATCATTAGGAGCTAAATGGGTGGTGGGGGTGGAAATCATAATAGTCTTTGTTTATGAGAATGACTTCGCTATATTATTATAAAATAAAAATAATAGAAGGAAAAAAACAAAATAAAGGGAAAGAGTGCGCCTGCCAATTTTTTGAGTTTGCTCCTGACATGTTATATGAAGGTTATCACCTCATCATAGGAGGTGACACATTTTTTTGTTTCTGAGGGGAAACCAGGGGAAATTTGACTTTGGCTGATCTTGTATACTTAAATCAAATACAGTAGGACAAACAGTACTTGAAAAGGACACATCCAGAAAAAAACAGGACTGGGAAGAAAAAATGGTGCTGGAAGAAGGCAGTGGTAAATCACTTGTTTTTTGTCAGGAAAACTACATGGATGCACCCATAAAATTGTCAGGATCAAGTTAGATTAAAAAGAACTTACTGTGTTTTTTTCCGAATCATTATAAAGAAAAACCAACTAATTAATTAGAGAAACTTTAGTATATCAGAATTGAGTCGGGACAACTGTCAAAAGGAGAAAGTCAATCATTCTACTAGGGGAGGGGTTCCCAACTGGGGTGCTCATGCCCCCTGTGAGTGCAAGACAATATTCCAGAGGGTGCGAAAACTTGGGTTTAGCAGTTTTAAAATTATAGTGTATATGCATAATTATATGCATATAATTATTTACTTTTGTAAAGGGTGTGAGAATATATCAGAAGCATTCTAGGGGTGTGGGGTATAGAAAAGGTTGGGAACTCCTGTATTGGGAGGGGGGTCAGCATTCCTCCGGATTAAACTCATGAAAATCTGCATATTGTAGAAGTGATTACAGAACTCCTATCTTATGCCTAAATATCATGTCGTCATCACTGCTCCACCACAGTTCTTAACAACACTATCTCCATGGGCAGAATTCTTCAAATCATTGAGAAAATGCTAAACCGCTGAAAGTGTAGAACAGCTTTGAATCATGAGAAGAACAAAAGAAGAAGAGGCAGCTCCATTTTAAAAATGTACACTTTGACTTAAAGAAAAACTAGAGGAAAAGAACAGACTACAAAGAAACCTATTAGGCCTTCTCTTCCCAGGTCTTCAGGAGATTCCACCCAGCTAAACCTAATCTCAGCATTAACAAACATAACCTACCCAGGAAACATGTTTTTGTTTTTAGCCTATCTCCATGAAGTTACCTTCATTTTGTTTCCATTCCAACAAATGAAATAGGGTTAAGGTCCCTTTAGGTGTTAACAGTGTCAAAGTGGTTTTTTTTACTCCATTCTGCCATTGTAACATGTTAGGGTACATAAAACTTGTTAGCTTTGTCAACCATAGGTTTGAGTGAAGTCAAGTGACCGTAGTGATTTGAAATAAGGACTGGATAGAGACTGATAATAGGGAAAAAAATCAAACAAATCTGCTTCATTTGTAGATGAAGATTACTTCAGTTCATGAATGGGTGGCTGCCCAGTGTTCATACCTCATGCACATATTTGGCTTGCTAACCAAGTATTTTGCTGCTTACCTTGAAATCTACTTTCTTCTGACTTTGAGGCTGTCTCCAGATGACCAAAGATGCCAGTAGAATCCCCAGCAAGTTGGAACAAAGGCAGATAACACACCACAGAGTTCCAGATGTCAAACATGGCAATTTTGTGGAGATCAGCATGCACACAGCACAGATGAAAAGAACTGGATAGAATATAATCTGTGAAAAGCATGCAGGGGACAGGCACATTTTCCTCATACAAGACTAGACTATCCTATACATCCCTTTATATGCAATGGAAAAGCATGAGACAGAATGGTGTGACTGTTTAATCTAAAACCCTTTAGGAACTAGTAAAGCTGTTGTAAATCATTAAGCTAGTTATGCCTTTTTTTCTAGGGTTATTTAGCGGTTTTGAATGTTGTTCAGCACACATATGATCTGACTGTTTCTACTCCAAGGGATGGCTGTAATATTTAATCCATATTTATGCATTTATCTGATGCAACACTTTTCTTATCTGATTTTTATACATTCAGTGAACAACAACTCAGAGATAATGGTGCCCAAGATGGATGTTATGTTTGGTCATGGGCTCAATGACGATGAACAAAATGAAATATAGACTAGATAGGATGTTAGTGATCAGATTTTTATCATCTTAAAACAACTGCTTGTAGTCTGAGAGAGCATTTTTCTTTTAAGGTGGTTGCTTTTAAGGTGGTTAGATTTAGCCAGAGGAATTCACACCATGATTATGTTTTAATTTAAAAGCATATCTATACATTTTAAATGGTGCAAACTACAACAGTTAGCTTTCTAACTAGTGCATGATAATGTATGTGATTAAATTATAAATCTGCATACATTTCCACACATCGATCTTAACTTTCAAATATTTTAAAGCTTAGCTATATTCAGAAACCTGTTATAAAACTATTTGAATGCTTTGATGGTAGTGTTTTGAAAATACATTAATATACTTTTGTTATTATCCATACAAGAAATAACATTCTCCTATGTTGTTCCAATTTATGGAATGTACTTTTTCAGGGATTATATTGGACCAAATGTTCTTTGCCTTTAGAAGAATAGTCAAGGGATAACTTTCTTTTCTTATGTTGATTCTTAATAAATTTAGTGTTTTTTTAAACCTTGCTGTAATGGGCCAAATCCATTGTGTGCCAAGCCTCACGTGAGCAACCTCAATGGTTCCGGTGCATGCTAGGTCTCACGTAGGCTGAAAACAGACACCAGGAACAAGACCATAAAACACGTCACAAGGGCAGTTAACTGAAATGCAGTTTGGTTTGCTAGTTTAAATTTACCATGGCATTGTTATTGGGAGATGCGATGCATCCACTAACATTCCTACGCATGTAACATAATGATTGGATAAACTCACCCCCTTTGTGTGTTCCCAATAAAAGGAGTTCCCCAAACCCTGATCGGGGCAGCTCACCCAAGATAGAACTTGCGTTAGTGTCTTTCTTGATGCATTCGGCCACCCAGTGGGCAGCCTTCCAAATGCGGAGCAAAACCGCAACCTGTGTTTCCTTATTTTTCTACTTGGTATTTTATATTTTAGATGTTATCTGTCAATTGAACCCATGAATATGCCCATGGACATTTCAGGCTCCTTATTACTTAAATTTTAAAGATTATTAAAAAATAATTGGAAGGAAAGGAAAGAAAAAAGCTGGCTAACTTCAAAACAAAACCTCTAATATTCTTTTATTGACAAGAATGGCTCCAGGATTCTCATAGGCATAATTAGAAAAAAATAAAAATGAAAAGAGTGGGTAGCTGCAGATTTAAAGAAAAAAAAAAGGAGCATTAGAGAATATCCTGAAGGGCTACAGGTGATGATAGAAAGCAACCAATTGTCTATGGAAGTAAAAAGGGAAACTTAATTTTCTGTTTTTCTTTCTCTCTTTGGTATATACATGAAATAGAAAATGTAATTGTTTATATAAAGGATATGAGGAAACAGAAAATATGATAAATTAGAAGGGACTATATGGGAATATAAAGTATTTATAATGAGAGTATATTTGATGATTAAAAGCAGGGGAATGGGAATTTATAAAATTATATAGGCAAACTTTGGCCAAGCAAAAATAAAGAAAAAATATGACTAGGGATTCCATTGGAATATAAAGTATTTATAATGAGAGTATTCTATTATGACTAAAAGTAGGGGAATGGAAAACTATTAAATTGCATAGGTAGATTTTGGCTAAGTGGAATTATAGAAAGGGCAAAAAAGGGAAATATGGAATGATTATAGGCACATGTTTTGGAATAAATATAAGATATAATGTAGATTGGGGGGATATGCCATGTGGATCCCAATTCCATTAGTTTTATTTTATTTTTACTCTTTTTCAATTGTTTATTATATATGATCATGACGTATAAAGTAAAATAAAATAGGTGGTAAGCTGAGAATGGAAATAATAGGGGATAAAGAATTGAAAATATATGTGCGGATGAAATGATATAGATATTGGATTAATGAATTGAAATATGAAATGGAAATTTATTTAAAGATTAGTGGATGATTTGAGGTGATGTTAAATAAAATAGATGGAAATGCAACTATGACTATGTATAAATGTAATCTGGAACCACGTTGCTCACGTGAAGAGATGTGTTAAAAACAAAAATAAAAAATCTTTTATTAAAAAAAAAGAAAGCAACCAATTGACTATCTATCTAATGAATGCTTCTGACAGGTCATGCCTACTATTTTAACTAGTTAAACCTTTCTCCATGACAGCCATTTTCTGAAGAGACCAAAAGCATGCTCTCAGAATTCTAAATGTGCCCAGCCCAACACTTACCAAGAATAAACACTGTGCATGCCACTAGTCTGGAAGAGTGATGGGATGGAATTATGTCAGGGTGTATTAGGAGGTCTGTCCAGGCCATTCTGCTTACAGTTGTCTTTTCTATAGAGGCTGGAGAACTAGGATCAGGTTGGTACCTACAAAAGAATTTAACAAAAAATAAATGGTGTCTTATTTGTGCCCGATGGAATTGGCATCTCCAGATGGTGTTAGAAATATGTCAGAGCCATTGCAACTAAAGTCATTTTCAGATAATTAAAAAGGCTAAGGGAGGCCATGGAGACATATGAGTATACTAAACTACAGCTTAGTTTTTGTGGTTTTGGATTCTGATTCAAATTCCTCACTAAAATTTACACAATAACATAACAGTTGCGTAGAGAGAGAAAGGGAGATGCAGAAATATGAAACTGCAAAGAAAATCTCCATGGGAGTAATGGTCCAATGGTCCAGGAGCATCAATGCTATTTGTGGAAATGAACTGAATATGAAAATAATATATCACATTACATCATTAGTATTCTTCTAATATTGAGTCATTCTATATCCAAAGAATTGTATGAATATCTGGAACCTTCTACAATCATATATACATTTTCAATATTTTAGTTTGGTAACAATAGCTAAAAGTGCAGCTTATTACCTGAGAAGTAGAATGGAGACAGCAACTAAACTGTAGGCCAGCAGTGTTCCAATAGACATCACATTAACCAAGACCTTCAGATCAAAAAGGACAGCCAGCAGTGCTGTGAAAACAGAAAAGGGTGCCTACTGCAAGCAGAATCAGTTGAATAATTTCTGTTCTGATAGACATCTGTATAAGGACAAGATCTTCAATATTTTGCCAAAACAGCTCTTGAAAATACTTGCCATGATTTTAGTCTCTTGAGTTAGAAATTAGGCAAGGGAGAAATTATGTATGAACTTTGAAAATAATTCAGAGTACTCTGCAATGAGTACCTCTCTGCTATTCAATAAAGCACTCAACTTTCTGGTTTTGAGTGAGACTATTAAAAAAGGCACTACTTTAGGAAGACAACTTAAGATGAGGGTCAAAAGCATCTCTAAACTGTTTTGGAAGTATGGACAACCCTAGTCATGATTCAGCAACTCAAGGAATATTTATGTTCATCATTTTTTTATGGAAAAAGAATACCTAGACTTACCTGAAACTGCTCCAGATACCAAAGTTGCAATAACTGGATTTTGTTGGCTGTTCACTCTGGCCAAAACATGAAAGAGAAGTCCATCCCTTGCCATTGCAAATAGAATTCGTGGCATTGGGAACATAGAACCCAACAAGCTGCAAAAGAACCCCAAGAAAAAAAGTAAAGTATCCATGTTAATAACTCTTTGTTTCCTGTGGCAACCTGCATTAAATGTGTTGTGCAAGGAACAGATTTTGCAAGGGAAAAAATCTTCAGTAGAATCATGGAACTGATATTTTGAGAATGTTATACTTCCATAGAGCTTGATGATAAATTAACGTTTTAGGAAACCATTGTATTTTAACCTCCATTATGTCATACCTGATAATAAGTAAAATAATCTGCAACATGTGTGGGAATAACTCTGACTCCAGTATTGAGTAATGATTAATCTAAG